CCTTTGCACTATATTAACTTTTTGGACAAAATTTATTTAACAGGCATGACTTTTAAGAACAACATGTCTGTTCGGATTTTTGAAACTTGTATGAAAGATAATGACTGTTCGAATGGCCACAAACAAGTCTATAAATAGTCTGCTTCTCTACCATAAAATTTACACCATTTTCATTACAAACTTTCTGTGTTTTGAATCTCATTTCCCTCTCTCTCGTTCTGATATTGTCTCGAAGTAAAACACACTTCGTTGAGTTCGTTGGAACTCCTGCAGATTGCAGTGCTGCTTCCGTAGGAGACGAAAATTCGTTCTATCTTGAGAAACGATTGCTGGACACCTTTAGCATCATTGAAGGCAGCAAATTCGTTTTAAGGAAATACCGTGAAATCGGTGGGCTCGAATTACTGTTTAGATCCTGTTGATCAATTCTTACATTCAGGTGATTCTGTCAAATTGTTTTCGAAAGAGTGACTTCAAACTCCAGAAACAACATATTGACAGTCGAAGAAGGTGCAGAAAGTCCAGCAAGGTTGGCTTTAATGCCTAATGATGGGAGTCTCATTTGTCGTAAAGTAATGAGTTTGTGATCGATATCTCATTGAAAAAGTCTTTAAACTATTTGACGATTTGGTGAATAATTTCATTGCAAATGCATGAACTCTCAAGTTTCAACTGGAAGTATGATGGTTTCTTGAATCAAATGAAAATGTTTCTTGATCCATTTGGCTAAGTAAATTACTTATTTCTGAAAATTGGAAGGTTTCTTTTGCAGAAATACAGAAAATGGACTAGAGCAAGTTCAGGTAAGCTTAGAAACTTCACTTTAAATAAATAATACTCTTTGTTAGTGACAAGAAAACCAAGTTCCTAGCCAAATAGACTCGTCAGACCCAATTGATAAACCCTTTTATTTTGTCCTTCTAAGGGCATTTTCTGTTCTGAATCCATCTTGATTCATTAAAAGAAAAAAATTTCACACATATCATTTCACTAACAAGTATATATTTTGCTCCGATTATTCATTATTGCAATAGTCAAGGCTTAACACCATGTTTGGCTTAGCATAATGCTAAAACAAAGATTTGTTCTTCAGTAATGATTAGGTAGTCTAAACAAGATTTTTTTTAGTCAGCAAGACATTGAACTATCATTTAATTTCAGATGTAGCGAAAAGTAATAACGGGACTACCATGCTTTAAATTAATTGACCATCAAATTTAAAGTTAATTAAAAGTAAGATATACTGCAAGTAATTGAAAGGTAGGTAGAATATTTCATTTAATTACTAATTAAAGTAAGTAATTTATGATGGCAAGATTGAAAGTTGTGTTTCATTTGAATTGAAGTTGCCTCCTAAAAGAATGGGAAGAAATTTAGGCCACATCTGTGATGATAAAATTGATCTACCGAGTTGTAATTTCCATTATAATCGGAACTCTAGGGCATCTCCAACCACAACATCATTGCACCATTTTTTGGTGCAAAATTGCTCTAACTCAACACCAAACTTTGCACCATTTTGTTGCAAAATGATGCAAAGTGTAAAATGTCCATTTTGCCCTTATTTAATATTTCCCAAATAAATTTGTTGAGAGTATTTATGTAATTTGTGTTATATACTTTTTAATACAATAAATTATTATTATTTTTTATTAATATTAATATTATTTGTGTTTAAAATAAATTTTAAATGTAAGACATAATAATTAATTAATTAAAAGACGAAAACAATTTAAAATATATCAAACACGATTATTTATTAAAGTTAACACGAAATGTATTAAATAGCAATTTATGTTCTATGTTTATTAATTGTATTTTTATTAATTGTTCTACGTTTTTTATATTTATTAATGAATTTAATTTTTTCCGTAATTTAACGTAATTATTTATTTAGTAATTTATGTATTTATGAAATAATTAAATAAATAATATTTCAAATAAGTAGATTATAAAGAATAAAAAATGGAAGAAAATGGTTAAATACTGTTCATTTGGTGTAATTTTTGGTGTAATGGTTGGAGATGAATTTTGGTTTGATGTAAGATTTGGTGCAAAATTTGGTACAGGGTTGGAGATGGCCTTAGATATTTTAAAATTTATGGATTAGTATACTTTTTAGGAAAAATTGTAGTCAAGGTATCAAATCTTTCATTTATTAGCAGATTTTGTTCAAACCTTTCATTTGTGCTAGCGTGAGTATCAAACCTTTAAAAAATTTGCAGCTCAAGTCTAAATTGATAATTTCTATTAGTTTGACCCCCCAAAAACAGTCAGTTGACCCCAGAAATTTAAAATTTAATAATTTGACCACATAAGACTGAAGCATTTTGGATAAAACACATTTTTCCTATTAAATAAATAAATAAATAAATAAATAAATAAATATATATATATATATAACCACAACCCATCCCCATCTCCTCCTTCCCCAAATCAAAACTACTCCACCCAATCACCACGTTCATCGTCGACAGCCAACACTACCCATCTGCATCACCACCACTACCCACCCAACAATACTCATCAACAAGAAAAGCTTAATGATCTTATAAAACCTCGATTCAGGCTAATAAGAACTGGAGGAGCTGGATGAGACACGACGCTTCGCGATGCAAATGAGAGTAATAAATCCATTGGTTATAAAGGCCAAGAAATGTGCAGTTTGATGGTCCTTAAGGAGGAAAACTATGAAAGCTAGCAGGCACTATGTGTCTAGTCCTTCTCCGACACCGACATCGCCATCGCCGTGGAGGCGCTGCTTATATCAACCGTCAAAAAACTGAAAGTTTCCAATGAAATTCATAGTTTCGTGAAGGAGACATGTAAATGGGTATGGAAAAGAAGCAATTGGTCAGATTGATGCAAATTCTCCCCCAAAGTCTATTGCCTTGCCCAATTCAACTGCTCTGCGACTTCCCATTTTTTAAGTCGAATTGGTGGATTGTATGAATTTTGAGGAAGATTTTGTTCTTAGATTATGGGGAATTCATAGATTGAAAGTGATGTGTGTGTTTTGTGGAGCTTAGGGTTTTGAGAGAAATGGGTGGTGGTCATGCCGATATTGGGTAGGTAGTGGTAGCTATCAGAGGTGAATGTGATGGTGGGTGGAGTGGTTTTGATTTGGGGAAGAAGGAGATGGGGATGGGTTGTGGTTTTATTTTTTTTATTTTTTTTAAAATTTGATTTAATAGGAAAAATGTGTTTTATCCAAAATGTTCCTATCTTATGTGGTCAAATTATTAAAATTTTAAATTCTAGGGTCAACTGACGGTTTTTGGTATCAAACTAACGGAAACTATCAATTTAGACTTGAGTTGCAAATTTTTTAAAGGTTTGGTACACACGGTGACACAAATGAAATATTTGGACAATGTCTGTTAATAAACGAAATGTTTGATACCTTGGCTACAATTTTCCCTACTTTTTATTTACAATGCAATAATTTCATTAATCCAATACTTTGAGCTTTGCCAAAGAAGACCAAAGGCGAATTTTCGGGTGGTGGGAATATAATAATTAGGCATAAGGTTTGTAGGATTGAAAATAAGTATTTTTCAAATAGATTAGCAAGTATAAATAAAAGAGGAAATTACAGGAAACCCTATGATTAAAATCCTTAATACTAAAATCAGATTGGAACTTTCACATTTCATAAATCAGATTTTTTTATTAATATTTTTTTAAAATAAATATTTTTTCTTAAATATATATAAACCAATACACACAAAACCCTAATCAAAATTAATTCCCACACCTGTCTCTCTCTCTCTAAACTAATTCCCCCATCGTCGTCGTCGTCTTGACAATCGCCGGTGACTCATCCACCCTCGATCCATTACCGGACGCTGCAGCGGCGCCATCCATCCACCGGAAGATGCAGCGCCGCTGCGAGCGTCTCTCACTTTCATCCCATTTTCTCTTCCTGTTTATGTGTTGGTGGTGGTGGTGGCGAAGTGGTGTTTTTATGTGGTGTTGGTGGTGTTGTGTCTGTTGTGGGTGGTGAATATGTCGGTTATGGTGATGGTCCGGCCACAAATCTGGCCGATCAATGGCCGCAGTGTGCGATTGCTACTCTAAGGTCGTTGTTGATCGAGGAGTTTTTGCAGGTGATTTTTTTTTATGTTCATGTCGTCTTGTGGTGGTCTCGATCGCTGTTCTAAGTTCGTTGCAGATCTTGGGTGGGGATTGTGGCTGTGTTATGTGGTCGTGATGGAGGGCTGGTTGTGGTGTCAGGATGACATGGGTGACGTGATCTGGTGGTTTGTTTTTCACTGTTTTTGTGTTTGGTTTGTGTTAATGTGGTGGTGGTTTGCGTTGCAACAGCGAAGGGTGGTGATGTGCTTGCTATGGTGTTTTTGTCCCAGACAGTGTTGTTGTTGGGTGGTGGTTCTGACGGCGACGGCGGCGGCGATATTGTTAGAGGAAATGGTTGTCGTAATTGTCAGCGGTGGTCACAGATTATTTGATTGATTTTGATCATTAATGGTTAATCTGTGACCAATAAACAAATATGTGATCGATAAAAAAGATGATTTGTGACAAATGTGACCTAAAAATATATTAATTTGTAACAGTCTAATAAAACTGTGACCTATAATATTTGTAATATGTGATCGACATATAAATTATGACTTATTAATTTTTGATCTGTGATCGATGAACAAACTGTAACCTATAAAATTTTTGATTTTGTGACCATAAAATAATTTGAACATTTCGAAATGTTGATTTGTGACTGAAAAATATTATTTGATTTATTAAATTGTGAATCTGTGACCAAATTGTATAAATATGTTACTTTAATATATTTAATTAATAAAATATATAATTAATAAATTAAATAATAAATAAATTTTATCAAATTTCTGATTTTTAGAAGTTCAAACCTTTGGTCTTAGTTTTGAATTAGGCAATACTTATCCTCTTACTTTTAAAATTTTCCCTAAATAAAAATTCAAAATTAGTTATGCCTTTATTAAACTTGGGCCAATTCGAGAAGCCAAGCCTGGTCCATAACCAAACCGAGTTTACTGAGGCCGAGGCAGTCGGGTTTGACCCTTTTCCCACTCTAGCCTTTGCAGTACGCAAAACAAGCCGGCAGCCGCAGACGTCCGTCGCGTGCATTCACACGCACAAGGATGGGAGAGGAGGAGCACTCAGTAGAACAGAACCCCCAGGAGATGATGTTAGATAACATTGAAGCTTTGCTCGAGGTGCCCTAACTCCCTAGCTTAATGCCAATACTGTTTCGGCGTTCTTTTCATGTGAACAGTGAATATTTGTTTGTTTGCTGTTAGGTTATATGTTTACGCGTTGAGAAGAAATTACAGTTTATTTGTTAAAGCAATTGAATTTTCTAACTAGTTATAGTTGTATTTCACCTGGGAATTCGTTGTAGAGGGAAATAATATTCAGTATTTCGTTCGTGAATTGAATTTTGAAACAAACAATTTCTTGGGTATTGATCACAGTTGAATATTTTAACTGCGCAATGGAGTTGATGGCGTTTTGATTTTGGGTGCGCTTCCCTTATTACCACCTTCTCTATTACAGTTGAGTAATTCATTCTGGTGGAAATTAGAGTTTTGAATTTATTTTTTGAAAATCAATATAGGAATTTTAGAGGAATTTATTATTACTTAATAGTATTCTCATTGTTATATCATTTTATTTGCTATATAGGATCTGAGTGACATTGCCAAAAATTCTACGTAATATATATTTCTGCTGAGAAAATTGGCTTTGAATTCCCGATGCTTGTCAGAAGTTTCTCGTGGTTGGGAAATTCACATTTTGTTGAAATTTTTTGCTATCTTCAAGGAAATTTTAACTGGAATCATCTAGGCCATGATCAATGTCCATCTATATGTAAATGGATGTCTTGAGTAGTCTGCTTACTTGATTCATATAAACTCAACTGGTTTTTACTATGATGCATCGACATGGACACGTGTGTCCGACACGACACTTGTCATATATGACAACACGCGATTTTCTAAAAAAAGCACTAATATGACACATTGATTAAATTTCTTAAAGTTCTTAATTTATATGGTGTAAATTTAGTTGTATACTTGTTATTAATTTTTCTTGTTGATATTTTTTAAATACGAGCGCATATTTGTCATTTACTAATAACTTTGAATTGAATTATATGATATTTCTTATAAAAAAGAAAAATGGTCATGGTAGAGAGAGTGTCGTTATCCGACATGTGTTGGACACGGACACGCTCCTTAGTTGAAGTGTCCGGGCAACAAATGGTTTTTACTCCTAACTGGATAATGAATGGTTCAATCATCTCGACGGACCCTGATTGTTCCTACAACTTTTCCATCCATACCCAACTCATGGTTTTCTTTGCTTTTAATGCATGCAGATTAATTGATTAGTATTTCGTTGCAGGAAGCTCATTTGTTAACTAGTGTCTATTGTATTATTTAACAGGCTGCTAGATATGATGATATTGATGATGTCAAAAGCATAGCATCTGCTGGGTTGTCTTTAGATTCTAAGGATTCGCAAGGACGCACAGGTTATAATTCTGATATGCAACAGTTTCCCACTTTTCTTTATTCTTTGAAATGTTAGCTAGACTGTAAATTGAAAAATATCTAAATCATAATAACTTCAGTCTATCTGAAGATGAATTATCAGCTTCTCACTTATGTGGATTCTTCATCCATCAGCTCTGAATACCTCGAGTGGCACAATATTCTTATTAAAATGCTATTGCTAAAATTTGTAACTGTTGACTGAAATATTCATGTTATATATAAATTTATGTTTTATGTTTAATGATGTACAAAATACCTTATGCTAACTTTCAAATGCTTGTGATTGTATTTTTACAGCATTGCATATGGCTGCAGCCAATGGACATCTTGACATCATAGTATATCTCCTCCGCAATGGAGTGGTGAGAGAGCCTTGATATCTGAGCTAACTTGAATTTTGGTTGTTTATTGAAAGATACTCTTGTGGTGGATTGGTTAACTTTTTCTCTCTAGATAACCTAGTCACGAATTCTTTGTTTACTATGCTTGGTTTAAATGCTCTAGTGTGTGGGTATGCATATAGGGACCGTTTAACATACCAGTATTTTTGACAAAGGTATCTTATAAATGATCCCAACTCTTAAATTAAATTGATCTAATGTTGTAGATCTAACTTAGGGAAAAAAGTTAATTAAAAGAAACAAAAACCTAATCATATTCTTCGGCCCGCCACCCCCTCCACCCCACCACTACACCACCGGCACCGCCTTAAATTGCTTTTCGCAAATTGTGCCAGATCTGGATGCAGTGGATCAACTTTCCCCATGGCAAGGAGGGAATGAGGAGCACTGCATTTTAGGATTGAACCAAATAAGTAACAAAAGCAAGTTTAGATTACAATGAACATATACGAGTCTCAAAAGCAACCATGCAACAAAAGGTGAACAGCAACACACCTTCCAGGAACAGAGTTGAAATCCCCACACACCAACATGGGAATGTCTGCACTGGCAGCAATTTTTTCCAATCCTTTCAATAGTGTATGAACCTGATATGAGACAAATAGAGACTTCAAAATCTAAACTTTACTGGAGTTAACAACATATTCAAAGAAAAGATCTAGTGGAAAAGACCTGCCAAAGCTTCACATCCTTCAAATCTTGATGCATATTTACATGAGTGTTTGCCTGTGTTCAGACAAGTAAGAAAAATACTGGTCATTAAATGCTCAAGGACTAGTGTAGAAACTAAACAAGAATGAGGATACAAACAAAATTTGCACACTCGTGTAGAAGCAGAAGTTACTAATGAATCACATCTTAGTTGAAGAAAAGATGGATACACCAATAGAGAATTATAGGAAATAATCCCTAGAAAGTCTACAAAGCTGAAAGCGAAACAAACACTGCAAGAAATGATCTATTCACTCACTCACTCATTAACAAGTTAACGATGGTGTCCAGCACAAGTAACCAACAAAGAGGACATTGGAGAACTAATGCACAAGTAGTCTATAGATATGTGTTCTTCTCAATAAACAGACAAAATGTTGAAACCTCAGCTATAACTACACTAGTACAAGGATTAAAAGGAAATGAACTTTGATATTCAGCAAAATATACTATGCAGATCAATAGTGAATCTAAAATGGCACATTAGCATATTTCTGCCTCCTTTTGTTATGTGAGCTTGTCTTCCACACTTGCTTAACATGTAATCAGCCTGAGGAAAAAACATTGTATAAATATCCCAATTAGAGAGCCCATCTTAAGGCTCGCCTCAGAGCACAAAAAACAAAAAAATGCTTCAAGCCACCGATTGCGAGGTACTTTTTTGGAGGCCCACACCTCAGTGCATTGAATGTGTGACATGTGCTCCTTAACTCTCCAAACTTAATTACTTTTCTTTAAATGCGAGCAGACAACATTAAAAGTTCTGATTGACCTGCTCTGATAGTAGCCCACTGCCCCACTATTCCAAAAACATTTGAAAATTGTGTTTTCAAATTGACCCACCTTAGAATCACGTATTACTAAAATATTAAAAGTTGTGTTTCTTATAACCTCACTTCGGGAATAATTCATTGCATCACTAACTAAAGTAATGTTACTTTGAAAAAAATTCTTTTGTTATTTTTCCACACTTATATTTTTTCTACAATGAATTTTTAAGATTCTTTATGATATATTATGCACTTTTTTGCATCTTAATATATATATTTTTTGACATCTTTTTATTTTACAACGAGGCTTCTGCCTCGAAGCTCACACCTCGCCTCATGGATCCAATGAACCCTTTTTAAACACGGAGGGGCAGTATTGGAACACCATTACTCCCTCATAGCTCATAAGCAATCCCCCATTTCCTTTCATTGGCATTGCCGGATGAAAAGGAAAGGCTGCTCACACTGCCCAATCATGACTCCTTCCTTTTCCAGATCATAAAATCTTGGCACTAATAAACATCCAATCCTGACATACATTTGCTGTCAGATACACTTAAGATGGGCAATCAATTTGGCCGTGCCTCTACACTTGACATTTTCCTTCAGACCAGAACGCCTTCCTAAAGCCCTATATGTCTTTATTCCATCATTCCCTAGCCATCCACGAGAAGCCTAATGTACTAAACTCATAGCAGAAAGGCAAGAATAATAAAAAAGAGCCACAAAGTTATCCAGTGAGTTTTCTCATTTATTTTCTGACTTGTAGTGATATTTCTTTTCAAGATGGAGACAGAGGTCATCCTAATTCAGTATTAGACAACATGTGTTGAAGAGTCAAGCCCAAGAAATACAGATCCGTGAGTGGCCATGAATCAGTAACACATATGCGTAATATGTGGGCAAACATCATAATAAAAGAAAGAAGGCAAGAAGGAATCAGCTGTGCAATAGATGGCGTTGACATCAAAAACAAATATTCGCAATTATTGCCAATATCTTACCACACAAACAAGCTGGCGTTTCCCAGGGTTATCGACACCAAGGTTGCTGAATTTGGCCTCTAGAACAACAATTAACGCAACATTATCCTATATGAAAAAGGGGTCAGAAATTTCCATATGAAAAGTAAGAGGAAAAACTGTAAGGTCCAGGGGAAGAAAGAGGAGCTTTTGAAAACATAACATTACCTTTACCAATCTATTTAGGGCAGTATTTTTCTGAGCACTTGGAACCACAGCATCAGTCAGAGATTGTGCAGCTTTGTTAAATTCAACCTACACAAAAGATATTAGCATATCTATGATTAAAACAACAAGAACGGATTAACACAATACACAGGCCACGCTTCCCACCTCATATTTTTTGACATGTGAAAATTTATCCCGGCGGAAGAAGGTAGCACAACCATCAATACTGTTGATATCTCCACTATAAACCTGCAAACAGCAATAGAATCATATCTTAGTTACAAAACAGTTTTCAAAAGATGGGTTGATAGATGGTTTGACAAACCTCTGCAGTTTTCTTTTTAAACAGAGCTTGATAGCCATGTTTGTCCAGCTCAGGTGCAAAGAACTCATCGAAGTGATCACTTTGAACCTGCGGACGAAAGGTCCAAAACATCAAGCATCAACTTATATATCATTTTAATATGGATGACAGGCAAAATTTTCGAAGACAAATATTCTCTTAGTAGTGCCAAAATAATACTCCAGCAGACTAACTAACTTGAAGGAGAAGTCATTTCTACATAGAAGAAAATTGACTCCACCCATGAAGATGGGGAAGAAAAGATGGCAAAGAACTTCTGGAAAATAATTATTTAACTAAAGCTTAAGCAAAGACATGTCAAGAAATATTTGGTTGTCTTTTAGTACATGAGAGTAGAAGTGCAATCTTATATTTTGTATAAGAAAGATAGGAAATGCATCCTTCACCTTCATTCCTAATGTGAAAATGACTACTCAACTAGAACAGAATGGCTTAACAAGAATGGTAACATTCAAAATCATGTGGATGCTATAATGTTTAAAGCATCTTTTGAAATAAAAAAAGTTCCTTAACTACGGAAAAAAAAGGAAGGTAAAAAAGCATGCCATTTATATCATCAAACAGGCAAATGCCTAACAAAAGATTGAAGATTTTAGAATATAACCAGGTTAAATGTCTATTCAGTCAACAGATGCCACATTTCTTCTTAAGTTCCACATTCTTCCATCAAAACATTTCTAGTGTTCCACATACGATAGCACCAATACTTAAATCTATCATAAAATGTATTTCTAAAGCTTCAGTAAAGTAAAAGGGAGTTTCTCATGCTATATTGTACCTCTTGAAGACAAACAATGTCAGCACGGTAGCCAACTATTTCTCTCAATAGATTTTGCCTACGATATGCCCAAGAAAGAGCCCAAGGAGGGCAATAGCTGTATAATTCAATTGTGGCATATACTTCTGATAAAATGTTGTATGAGAGCACCGTAAATGTTCCTACAGATGAAATACGACCATCCATATCTAAATGAGCTGGCGCATCAATGCCACTCACTGGAATCAAGCGACGGTAACTGGGAGATGGAGCTGGAATCACACGGGAAGTCATTATTGTACTTGAATGTGCCACAGCTGATTTTGTCTCAGCATCTACCACAACACACTCAAACTTAAGAACGTGACCAATATCATCAGCTGTAGGTGTATATGTCTTTGAGCGTCCAACTTCAAACATTGTTTCGCTACCACTCTGAATTGCAGCAGGATACAAAGTTGTGCTATTCCCCAAGCTGGAACTTGACTGTGATGCAGACAAGCTCGTATTGACCACAGCAGCTCCTGTATTACCTTGACCATTAATGCGTGCAAAAACTTCTTCCTCCTCATTTCCATTTTCATTCACAGCACTAGCAGCACGCTCATGAAGAAGACGATGATGTTGCCATGCATCTGAAAAACACTTGGACGAGCAATGGTAACTTTTAGAAACAGGTATTTTGGCTTTAACACATCCAATACACTGTAATGTAGCTTGTTCTGATGGGTGTACACTACAGACTGCAACCTTTTTATCACTTTGTACGCGATACCTGCATATTTATATGTACGTCAAGATACTATTCACGAACCACCACGCATAAAAGATGGACACAATTGATTCTATAACCAATCTGTACCAAACCTCACAAAACTTGACCATTTATGAATACAACTGGGTAAAATATAAGTGATAGTAAAAATGATTTATCGTACCTAATGAGGCAGATGGAAGAACAGCATTCAAGACATTTAGTGGCAGAATTTTCTTTGAAGCTAAAGACGTAGTTGGCAGAGTGCAAAGTCACAGAGAGAAATGAAATAGCAATTATCCATTTCCAGTAAATCCCTGATATAATGAGTCTATTTTAAGCCACTATCTTCAAATCCCCATTAACTATTGAAGCCACTAAAGATTTTATACTAGGAAATAATTACTTATTATACTCCAGCAGAGTATGAAACATTGCACTGAGAAATAGCTAATACAATAGTAGCGCATTAATCTTTTATATGCAGACCATTATGTTGTATTTAAACACTGGGACAGATAGAAGTCCAAAAGCATAATTATGAAACATTGCACTGAGAAATAGCTAACACAATAGTAGCATGTTAATCTTTTATATGCAGACGATTATGTTTTATTTAAACACTGGGACATATAGAAGTCCAAAAGCATAATTATGAAAGTACAAAAACCAAATGCACATTCCAGGAACATAAAACAAGATATTAACTGCAGATATTGAGACAAGGCACAAATTATCTCCAAACACCAGGAAAAACCGACAAGGTAAAATTAGTCAGCACCAGCCATAACTGACGAGGCAACGCCTGTTGATTGAGAGCATGGAAAACTGCAGTAAAAAAAAAAAAAAAAAAAAAAAAAAAAATTGAAAAAGAAATTTTTCTTCTTCTTAAAATGCTTCCTTTAAATTTACAAATTTGAAAGAAGCAATTTACTAATACAACCCTTTTAAAGATATTTCAAACCTTCCTTTAAATTTACAAATTTCCAAAAATATTTCAATTGATGACCTCTTCAAAGGATTATCAAAATATGAAGAACTTGGTGCTTCTTCTTCTCAAAATACTAAAAATACAACCCTTTCAAACTTTGTTTTCAAAAAGCCTGACCAAAATAAACAAGATCCAGAACAATTCAAACTTCAAAAAAGCCATTCAAAGTTCTTAAAAACATCCTCAAATAAATCTCCTCACAAAAGCAGCATGTGATCCAATTTTTGAGATGGAAACATCTTGGATCAATAGAATCCAAATAAAATTGATTTTTCAAAAATAAACATTCAAAGGGTGTTGTCATATGAAGACTGTGGACAACAACTATGGAATGAGAAACGAATGCGCCTTTCTACAAGTGAATCATTCGAATCTCATTTCAATTATTTTGATTACAAGGATTCCTAATATAATTTTTTTATTTTAGACCAGTGACTCATTCTTAGTTTATTTTTTTCAATCAAAATTCCAATCCAAAATTTTCAAACTTGGTTCGAATGTTTTGGAATTGAAGAGAAGATTTTACCTAGTCTCACTCTTCAACGATTCGAAAACTTTCAAAAAGAGGCCAAACCTTTTTTAAAGCCCCACGAAAATCTTTTGTTTAGATTTGAAAGTCTCATGGATTCTTTACTGAGATTTATTCGTTTTTCAAGGTGCAAACTCTGAATATTTTGCTACAAAATATTATTCATAGATTTAAAATCAAATGGCGGTCAAAATTCTGTGAAACAAATTGTTGTCCAAAAACAATACACTCATGGATTCAAGAACGAGGGAATATTGGTGTTCCCAAAAAATCTCAACGAAAGATCCGGGGAAAAATGCAGATTTTCTCACGGAAAAATCAAAATTAATGGCAATGTTCAATTAATACAAAACATCCGAAGAACTTGCTATAATTTCAGAAAAAATTGCTTCTTTAGCTGAAGCAGCATCAAAGAAATCAAAATTCTTTCAAGAAGAATCTTCTCAATTAGGAACAATATCAGACCATGCATATAGCAACGAGGACATGTGTCATAGACTAGATATTAATGAATTAATTAATCAAGAGACATAGAAGAACTTAAAATGATTATATGGACCCAGTTATTTGAATGAATTACAAAAATATCGAACTGTGCCACCTGATAAAGTATTTCTACCAACTTTCAAGAAAAAGTAGCTTTAGTAAAGTCACTTTAATAAAGTTGATACAAATTTTCAACAAAGCATGGGGAAATTCTAAAAGAATATGGGATACAAAGACAAAAGTAAAGGAAGATTTTCAAAAGATGATAATGGCTCAAGATTCTTTCATCAAAATAAAGAAACTGGAGCTCAGGATTTTAAGTATTTAAGAAGATCAAGACTTCAAGATCTAGGAGAGCAGATTTAGCGGGAGATAAACTAGCCTCAAGATAATTTGAGAAACCCTTGTATTCTTTAATTTTCAATCTTGTATTTTTATTTCAATCTTGTAACATCAATTTTTATATTTCAGTAAAATGATTTCTTATTTTCAACATTTGTCTATTTTCACTTCTACTCTATATTCTTTGGGCATATTTTGGTATCAGAGCCATAAGAGAGTGAGGTGAGATTATATATATAGTCTTTTTGGGATTTCAATTTAGCAGTTATTTAAGGTGCATTGCAGGATTTCCTGGATAATTGGTGTTCAACTTTTATGTGGTATATTTATTGGGTATAAGTAATTAAAAAATGTGTTTTTTTGTTATACCGGGGTAGTTATGGTTATGTGTGCAACTGTTCTTGTTGAATTCGTGGCAGGCCGGCAGCTACTGCCATTTATTTATATTATTCCAATCCTACATGTATCCAATGGTGAATTGGACGGCTCTAACTGAAGAATGCGTTGTGATCATAATTGGAATTGGGTTCTTGTGCAAATCTCAACTTCTGATCACAGTAAAGCAATATTACTAATTGATGGATGATGTTTGTTGTATCCTTAACTCTCACGGATGATTTCTCTAAATATGATCCTATAATCTGCATCTGTAGCATAATCAGTCCTGTTAATTTTTTTTATTATTATTATTATTTTATTATTTTTTTGTGTACATATTAACACGAGCTTTTGACCTGTCTATCCTCAATGTTTTCAACTTAATTGTGGCAGGCGGCTACTCCTAAGATGTTGGAATTCTTGAGGGAGCTCAGAAATGTACTCTTACGTATCCTATTTTTCTTTTTCTTGTCATAGATCTTCTCAATGAAGAGTAATTTTATGAGGCTTACAAAAAAATAAGATGATATAAGCTACAGATTTTCCTTGGCAGGTTATGACAATTGGTTTAGTTGGAGGTTCTGACCTTGTTAAGATATCAGAGCAGTTTGGAAAATCAGGTCTACTCCGACTTCATTCTGATTTCAAATGCTCAATTAATTTATTTAATGAATCTGGATCTTGGAAGAATGAGTTTTATGATACATAACATTTGTTTTCTTAGTATGATGACCTATTTCCTATAATTTTTTGGTGTTACGGATGTTATTTGTTATTTATGGTCCTACTTGTTTAAATACCAAAGGTATTCTATAAATTGCGCCAACCTTAAAAAGAAATAAGAAAAGAACATGCGAGTGAGGAGCCTATCTGAAAGGTTATGTCATTTCGATACGAAATAAAGATGAATATATAATTTTTTGGATTTGAGAAAACTCGTTCATAAGTATAGAATATGTTTGGACAACTTCCTGTATTATCACGCTTTAAGCTGTCTGTGTCTAGCCTTATTTATTGTACAATTTTTGAAAGTGGTTACTTCTGTTTCTTTTTCGTTTGAAGAAGTTTTGAAGGATGTAAAATTTGCTCTATGAGAGTTTTTAGATCAACATTACAGCTTCTGTAAGCTTAACTTTCTAAAGATAGTATTTTTTCTTTGTATGTGCAGTCATTAATGACTATGACTATGTGTTCGCTGAGAATGGCCTTGTGGCTTACAAAAATGGCACGGTAATCGGAACACAGGTATCATCTGAGACCCAAATCAGTTTGTAAAGTCCATGAAACAAAGATTTTGGAATATTTGTCCTGTCACTGCTTTTAGTGGAAAATCTTCTTTTTAATTGATATGTAACCAATAAGCTAAAGATAGAAGCTCCACAATGAGGGGGAGGAGGAAGACGTGAGTATAAGCCAAAAAAGAAGAGACCATTTTATTTTTTCTTACTTTGAGTATGAAATGGTGAAGGTGAGGAAAAATTCATATGTTCTACGGCCACAAACATGTTTTTGAAATTCAATTTGTTACATCTGTTTCTATGAAAGGTCAATACCTTCTCTTATTTTACATAGAGCATCTACTTTTAGCCTTAAAAATGGTTTCTTGTGCATATTCAGGGTACTGCATTGTAACAAAAATAGCCTTTGATTCTTTCCCTTCTATTGTAATACTATTCTTGCATAGCTACATTTTGTAGTTTGACTGGTTCATCTGTCTTCATGCAGAGCTTAAAATCATTTCTTGGGGAAGAAAAGCTCAAGGTAAGAAGAACCATCGTTGATCGATTAAAAAATTATTGATTTGGAATAATGCAACCTGCTTGCAATATCAGAATATTCTTTAACTCCATAACTGGTCGTACAGATGTTTGATGCCTGAGAAGCGGAAAGATTAAATGTGAATATTAAAAACGTATATCTTGAAGGAATAAGTTATTTCATGGCACAGAGGGTTTTTGTGATTGTTTTGTTTGTCCTTCACCCTAAATTTGGGTTAATTGATGGTAGGAAATTTATACATTGTGTCTAACATGCACTTTTTAATGTGTTTTAGCAATTATCATGTAATGAATTTTAAATGATGATGCAGGAATTCATTAATTTTACACTGCACTACATTGCTGACTTGGATATCCCGATTAAAAGGTGAGGAAAAAAAGGAACTGAATAGCTGTTCTTCACTTATGTTGGATCTTAGATACAATTTTTTCTCTTTTAGGGGAACATTTATTGAATTTCGAAGTGGGATGCTCAATGTATCACCAATTGGAAGAAACTGCAGTCAGGAAGAGCGAGATGAATTTGAGAAGTATGACAAGGTATCAAATCTCTGGGCACCGATGTAAAATATCAGTTTCAGTGTTCCTAATTTTCTTCTGATTTGCTTAGACTCTACTAAATGTCTCCAGTTTCATAATATACGCCCGAAAATGGTGTCAGTTCTCCGTGAAAAGTTTGCACACTTTAACCTAACTTTTTCCATTGGAGGCCAAATCAGTTTTGATGTGAGTAATTTTGTACTTTCCTATTCTAACTGGTTTTATTTTTTATTTATTTCTTTTTAAAGATTGAAACAAATTAAATTTATTGAAATTCTATTTGGAAAACATTTGGGACAGGTTTTCCCTCGGGGCTGGGATAAGACATATTGTTTGAGATACCTTGGTGATTTTCATGAAATCCACTTCTTTGGAGACAAGACGTACAAGGTTCTTTAACTGATCCACAATGCTTGGAAACTTTCTTATAGTTCTCCCAAACTATTGATTAATTATGGTCTTCTTTGGAACTTGCTGGACTCTGGGCCAACTAAAGGATGCTTTTGCTTATTTCTTTTTCCCTGAACAGGGAAGAAATGACTTTGAGATATACGATTCTGAGAGAACCGTGGGTCACACAGGTCAGCTTTATTTGTTTTTCCTATTAGTTAACTAATATCAAATGGAAATGAGTTTTGGAAGGTAGCTCTGGATGCATTTATATAGCTATGACCAAAATGCTGGCATTGTGAATGTGTCACCAGTAATGATAAATAGAAGTAGTTGTTTACTTCTTTGACGAAGGAATTTGTAAAAACTAGGATTGGTATTTGCTGCAAGGAGAAAGAAATTTATAGGTTAAATGTCAAAATGTATATGCTTATGAACCATAGGGAAACCTTCATTTGTATTCAGCTGGTTTTATTGAAATTTCTGAACAGTATGACCTGATTCTTTCATTTGTTATCAGTTACTTGCCCTGAGGATACAGTCAACCAGTGTACTACTCTCTTCCTTAGCAAGCCAGACGGACAAGCCTGATCTTGTCGTGTATCGTTTCAGCATTCAATTGTATTTCATTGTAATTGTACACTTCATCAATAAACTAGAAAAGGAGATTTAGTCCCTGGGCACACGAGGCAGCAGGCTAAATCTTTCGAAAGACGAGCAAGATGAGGGGCTTTAAGCTTCTTGTAGCTTTCAGTTTGTGTGCCATTTGTAATTTTAACACGTCTTTAAAGCATAGTTCAAATAACATATGCAGACATCTTTCGTACTACGTCCTCAACTGCTTTGCTGAATTGACGTTCCTTATTGTGATAATAATTCAGGGTTTCAGATATTTAAATAAATAATATTTGTTGGTGTTCTATTACTTTAGCAGCTTTTCTTTTATGGATTACCTAGTTATTGAGCAGATACTTTGTGATTAAGTTACAAAAATGAACGTGTATTACCTTTATAATTCGTTTTTACTTCATGAGAAAATTTGTTTGGAGACGAGCTATAAAATTCTTGAGATGAGTTACTTGATGCCAACCTTTAAATTTAAGAATTTATATGGGAGTAATTTAAGATTGCTTGCTTAGATATGCTTATTATGATGTTTAACTGAACTGCGTGCGAACTTTTATGCCACACTATGTGCTTAATAATGTTAAGGTTTAAGTTCTAATATTTATGTGATTGATTGTTGTATTTGGATTTTTATGTTCTATATGTTAAAGTGGAGTCACATGCACAAGGCCTTAATGTTAAATTTTCTAAACCAAATTGTATTTGCGACAAGCTTAGAGTGATTTGTGCTTCTAGTGCTCATTTATGTGGTTGAATTATTTCGATTAAAGAAAATGCATCATTTATGGAGTTAAGGTATCCACTTTGTATCTATAGGCCAATAAAAGTATGCAGGTCTAATTTAAGTAATATTAATGGTATAGTCCACAGATTTAAGTAGGAGAAAATAGCATGTTAGTGAACGAAAATTACGACTTAACACGTTAATGTTCCCGGCTTGTTTGTACACCTTTTTGGGACGAAGGTTCGCCCATTTAAGCAACAAGGTTCTTTAAGATATTTATATTGTGACCTTTGTGCCTTTGGCACGAGATTCTAAATATAGAATTGTACCAGCATTACTTCTGGAGAGGGTCCAAACCGGGGAGGGCGGGGGGGGGGGGGGGATTGAACTGAATGCACCATATGCATAAGTTTTAGTTCATGATAGTGACGAGTTCTCTTTATAATGATTTGCATGCGTCTTTTTCATGATTATTAGTTCATGGCATGTACAAGTTTATTATCATGGTGTATTCATGTACCTATTTAAACTGTTATTGTAATATGTTGTTAATCCCGACCTTGTGTAGTTTTATGGAGATGGGAGAATCTACAAATAAATGAAAACGAGGTTTATTTTCTGATGTCTTTTCCTCAAATTTAATTAAGTCATTCATTTCGCAACTATATTTAGTACCCCACTTACTCATTTTACGTAAAATCAATTATGAAGTCATGGTGACAACTTAAGATAATTTAAAAAGGTTATACTTCTTAATAAAAAGTGAGTATTTTGTCGATGTAGGATGTTGAAATTGTTCTTACACTTATACATTAGGCCCCACTTTGGATTTCACTAAAATGAAAAATGTGTTTTGAAATATTATTTTTTAGAAAATGTGTCATTAAAAAAAATAAAAAATAAAAAAATTTTGAGTTTACTTATAATATTATTTTATCGGATAATGTATAGTTAAAAATTAATTCTAAGAAAATGTAACCAAAAAGAGGGCCAGATTAACCTACTCCAATTTGCCTATGATTCCAAATTGCAATTTAAAAGAGGGATCTATGCATAATGATATGGTACTTTTAAATTTGACTCAATCAAAGGTTCAAAATTCCACTTTGACTTCGAAAATCTTGAATATTATCACATTGGCCTCTTGTATGGTAAAAGACAAAGATGCCCTTAAATGTATTATATAATTACAAAACAAAGTATTGTTGAAAGGACTTTATTACCCTTTTAGTTAATAATTGAAAATCAAATACTTCTTCACTCATAAAACTTCAAAACGAGCTTCCAACATAGAAAAAACTCTCATCTTTCATCTGCTTGAACCTCAAAATCTCAAAAAACTTTCGAACGCTGAAGTCGAAATTTTTTTTCATATCAATTACTTCAAATCGGTAAATATATTTACATATGTTTAATTTCGTTTTCAATAAATTAGTATACGTTTGAATAAAGAAATTTTGTTTCGACCTAGTAATAGTTAGTATTAATTTTTTTAACAGATCTTACCTATCAAAAAATTTTTTTTGAACAGATCTACAATTTTTTTCTTTAGAACCGTAAAAGAAAAAATTCATACATAAAACAGACAAACAGTCGGTTGTTACAGTCGACTGTCGGCTATTAAATAGTCGACAGCTAGCTGTTGGTTGTTGGCTATAACGGCCGACTGTTACAGCCCACAATCGGCTGTTAAATAATCAAACAGTCAATTTTTGTGTTTCTATTTCCACAAAAATCGATTGTTAAAGATGTTAATTAATTAATTAATTTTTGTTGGCACTGATTTTTTTTTATAATTAATAAATGAAGTTGATTAAATAAATAAACGTATGAATTTTTTTGTTGTAAGTTAATTAAAAAAATTCTGTTTCCTCATACAGATATGATAGTCCTCGTCTGTTATTTCGGTGATTTCGAATTAAATGAAAATAATCGGTGGGAATGGAGATGGAAGAGTGACATAAGTGGTTGTATTGCAATTCTCATAACATAGAGTACATCATATTCAGAAGTGTACCACGATTTGTAAAATAAGTTGAATGTCGATCAATCTCAATACGATATGCAATTGAGATATCTATTCAACGGTTATGGAAATTCATCCATTTCGATTCCACCGATATTCGTTACTAATGATGTTGAATTGAATTATCTATTAAAATTGAATAAAATGTATCGGACTCCAACTGTTCTTGGTGTGACTTTAGTTAAGAAGGATGTTGTCGAAGGTGAATGCGAAGATTCAGATAGAGCGGATAATAATGACTGAGGTTTTTGGGAGACAGTGGAGATAGTTCCTATGGATGATGTGGTTATTCCTGAGGCAATTGCTCCTAATCGTGATGTCGCTGTTACGCACAAAATTTCGTCGACAGTTGAAGACAATGAGAATATAAATGATTTTATAAATGAGAATCTGATTACTTTATCTCGATAGAGACATGAGCTGGGTGGAAGCTCAGAGGTATGAACAAGTGGACCGTCTTCCAATTCTTCCCGTGTGGCTCCTGATGATGAGGACTTGTATGTCGAGCAACTATTTGAAACTAAGAAAGATTTAGAGGAAGCTGTGCACCGACTGACATTAAAATATAACTTTGAGTTCAAGGTAAAGAAATCAAACAAGTCATTGCTGACAGTTGCCTGCGTCGACGACAGTTGTAATTGGCGCTTGAGAGCAACGAAAATGGACACGAATGAGTGCTTCGTAATTCACAAGTATTCACTGGAACATACTTGCGAAGTGGTAATTCATCGAAACGATCACAGGCAAGTTCGAGCATGGTTTATTGGTCGACAGATAATGCACAAGTATAAGGACCCACGGACGATCTACAGACCTTCGGATATCATTAACGACGTCCGTCGAGAGTATGGAGTGGTCATAAGCTACCAGAAAGCCTGGAAGACCAAAGAATGTGCGTTAGAGGATTTAATGGGACCAGCTGAGGAGAGCTATGCTAAATTGGCCAGGTATTGTCATAACATGGGGACAACTAATCCTGAGACGACATTTTTTATTGAGACAGGGGGCGATAATTTTTTTAAGTATTTTTTCATGGCTCTCGGACAATGTACTCGGGGTTTTCGAAATACAATGCGACCCGTAATTCTAGTTGATGGTACAACTTTGAAAGCTAAATATCAAGGCAAATTAATTATTGCATATGTTAAAACGCCAACATCCAAATTTACCTTATTACATTCGGCATAGTTGACAAAGAGAATGATCTGTCCATGCGTTGGTTCTTTTCTAAACTGAGGGAAGTGATCGGGGAAGTCGAAAACTTTGCCTTTGTAACCGATCAGGGACAGCCTATAATAAACGGTATCACTGAAGTTTTTTTCGGGCACATCACGGGTATTGCATGTACCATATACAAGGTAATTTGAAGACTAGGTATTGGGGTAAAGGCATCGTTTCATTGTTCAGGAGAGCAGCCGAAGCTTACAGTGCTGAAGAGTATAATAAGTTTATGATCGAGATAGGAAGTAAATCATTACCGACGTTGGATTATCTCTCGAACATGGGGATCGGACATTGGGCTCGGTCATGCTTTTTAGGACGTCGATACAATATGATGACGTTGAATAATGCAGAGTCTTTCAATGTATTGTTTAAGAAGGATCGAGAGTTACCAATTCTCGCAATGATTGAGAACATTCGTAACAAGCTGCAACAGTGATTTCATGACCGACGTGCGGCATCACAGAGTTGCATTAGCGTGTTGGCCCCAACTCAAGAGGAGAAACTCTTTAAGGCGGCAGAGGTTGCGAAGAAGTTGAATGTGGAAGTACTAGATGAGTTTCGTTTCTTCGTGCAATGTGCACATAATACGGTATATATGGTGGACTTGACTGATAACACATGTACTTGTACAAGATTTCAATTAGAGAGTTTTCCATGTGAGCGAGAACGTTATGCTCTTTGTATTATATGATTGAGTCTTGGAGAACAGCATATGCTGAGACTATATTTCCTCTATCGAATGAAGTCGAGTGGGAAGTTCCCGAGCACATTCTCCTATTTGATACTTTGTTACCACCAGCAATTGAACCGCGTGGTCCTGGACGTCCAAGGACATCTAAAATACCATCTACCGAAAAGTTTCCTCAATCGCGTAGGTGTGGCAGGTACAGAGTCATAGGGTATAATCGACAATTTTGTAGTAGTCAAATTCTCCTAAATGACAATTAGACAGGTACGTTAAATGAATAATATTTCCGTTTACTTAACACTGTTCAATATTTTTTTTCATAAATGTTCAATATTTATTCTAATAAATGTTATTTATAATGATTCATATGAAAAAAATAGTTCCATACTCGGCATGTGTAAAAATAACAAAAAATTAATTTACAAAAAAATAATTAAATTTTCAATTTGAATGTTATATATATTGAACAAAAATTTACAATTATTTCATAATCACAAAAAATAATTAAATTTACAATTCGAATATTACATATATTTAATACAAATTTATGGGTCATCATTAAATTCGAACAAATTACAAGCTAACTTCTTTCTCCATTTCTATATCCACGATTGGTTGATTCCATCAACATTATATCCTAC